CCCCCCCCCCCCCCCCTTGGCCCCCGGTGTCCATTAACTGCCTGGGGACAGCATTAAACGGAAGAGAAAAACTTTAATGAGTCTTGCCGAGATTTTAAATTTCACCTTTCCCATCCCGGCTTAGACGATTCCCAGCTTCTAAACGGCTCCCGGCTTCTCCTGAGCCAGCAATTCCTTCCCTCGAGCCGGCAATTCCCCCTCCTGAGCCGGCTACTCCTCCTTCCGAGCCAGCAATTCCTCCTGAGACCCCGAAGGTAAGCGCTTAAGAAAAGTCTGAACTCATTCCGCAATCGCAATTCACAAAAAAAAACATTCGCGACCACAAAAAAGGTCACAGCGCCCAAGCGAAGACCACAGAAATCGCTTAATCTTAAAAAAAAAAAAGACAATGCGTACGGAATCCGCCCGTGAACTCCCCGAAAATTTTGCCCCCTCCCCCTCCCCCCTTCCCCTCCCTCTGCGCAATTGCGGGGATGAAGGGAGACAGTTGCGGTTTCCCACCGCGGAGGGGGAACGGCAGATGTTAGACCGCCTTCGTCACTCAAACAACCACTCAAACAACCGGGGCAGGGATGCCCCCCTCCTCGCTTTTCTGCTATTTTACACAGTTTTGGTATTATCGTTGTCGTTATTATCGCATTATGTGCACGCAACCCCGCTCAGGCTTGGAGACGGCACCTGCCTGAAAATTTCAGGCTAAGAGATTGCACCTGCCTGAAATTTTCCGGCTAAGATATTGCACCTTCCGACGACCTGCCTGAAATCTTCAGGCTAAGAGATTGCCTGAAACTTTCGGGCTTTTTACCCGAAACGTTTCGAAATTGCGGATGGAGCATTCCAGGCGCTTCTTAGCCTTCATATACAAAAGGGGGCAAAAGTTACGATTTTTTTTCGAATATGGAAGATAGTTGAATATCCATTCAACGTCATATTTACCGTTGTTTACGGCAAAAAACACAAATAACATTGGAAAACGATATTGGAACGTCGTTTCAAATCCTACCAGCTTCATCCAGCATATTTTGAACAGAGTGGACCAAAACAGCAAAGCAGCCATTTTTGGTATGCAAGAAGTGCATAATAACTTTCGTCCCACCCTGTATATTTTCGCTGAGGGCCTGAAACCGATTTGAGGGCCTGAAACTAATTTGAGGATCTCCCGTCTCGTGGAGAATTCCTCCCACGATCTGCCAAAAACTCATGATTGCAATATTTGCGAAAATCGTCGACTGTCTTAAAGAGGATTGAGTGAAGAATTTGGCAAATCTATAAGTTGCAAATATCAGGATAAATTCTTTAATGCGAGAAAAAATCCGATTGGAAAATAATTTGCAGACGGAATAGACTCACATTCGAAGTGCGGAGAATCGCAATGGGAGAAATGCACCGGACTTGCGTACGCGCTGGAGGCAGCCGACCGAATGACGAGGGTCCGCCCTCCCCTCCCTCCCTCCCCTTCATCCCTCCCTCCCTCTCTTTTTCTCCGTTCCTTTCCTTCTGCGTTCTTCCTTCTCCGTTCTCTCACTCTTTCTTTTTTCTTGCTTATGTTCGACGGGTTAGCGAGTTAACCGGGGTAACGTCGCGGTAACGCCGGCGAACGCCGAGCCTGACCCCCGGCGTCCGGTATCGACCCATGTCGACCCATGTCGACCTTCTCGACCCGTGCCGCATTTTCCTCAGGGACCACAGCTGCAAGTCGAAAAGTGTTCAAACTTCGTCGTGGGAATCCTGACGAAGGTTCATTCAAAGAAATGAATATAAGTGAATATAATATAAAATATTAAATAATAATACAATAAATGAATACAATTTAAAAAATGATGAATAAAAAAATAAGTAAATACAATAAATAATAAAGATAATAAATTATTGAACTAAATAAAGACAATAAATAAATATAACAAATGACTAGAAAAAATGAACATAAACAAATGATGGCGATGACTCCGCGAATCGGTCAGGAGGAGCCGAGCGGTATCAGACCGCGAATCCGCCTAGGGTGACCAACCGTCCCGTTTTTCTGCGAGGACAGTCGCGGATTCCGATTGTCCGTCACGCAACCTCACGCAAACCGCAGAAGAGAAGAATTCCTCCCCCCTACCCCCCCCCCCTCACCCCCCCTTTACACCCCCCGCCCCTTCGAATTTTAAAGAACTGGTCTGCGTGACCGCGCAGGAATCCCCATAATTTATTTAATCGACTTCAAAATTTGCCAATGAAATGAAAACGATGAAACACA